TCACTTTCACCGCTCTCTCTCCCAAGCCAATTGATTTTCTTAGAGTCTTGGTATGCAATCCTGTTAGTTTTTGCAATACCTTTCGATAGGTGTATCATTCATTATGATCGGACCATCACAGTAGATTTTCATTTCTTCGTGTATATATAGTAGTCGCCTTCGCACACTCTCCTGGTGCGCTTCGTCACTACATGGACTGCCGTCCATAGTGATTGCGCCATCTACCGCCAGATATTGGTACTACTGGTCATGAAAGGCGGAAATGTAGGCGCTGGCCAGGTTTAAGCGTTTATTGGGTTTGTGGGCGTCAGAGTGGGCGTGGCAATTTTTTACTTGGCCAATCGATAGGTATTGACGAAGCGAATACATATCAGTTACTATTTTCATAATAGCTTCAAAACTGTGGGCGTTAAAGGGGGCTTGTGGGCGTTAGAGGGGGCGTGGCACCTTTTTGAAACAAACTTGCGCTGCGTAGGAGCTCCTAGAATATTCATGCAAAATGCCAATCTTCTAGCTTTTATAGTTTCCGAGATCTCAGCGTTCATACCAACAGACAGACAGACAGACAGACAGACAGACAGACAGACAGACAGACAGACAGACAGACAGACAGACAGACAGACGGACAGACAGACGGACAGACGGACATGGCTAGATCGACTCGGCTAGTGATCCTGATCAAGAATATATATACTTTATGGGGTCGGAAACGCTTCCTTCTAGCTGTTACATACTTTTTCACGAATACAATATACCCTTTTACTCTACGAGTAACCGGTATAAATAGTCATTTCACAACAACAAAATACACACAATTAGCAAAGACACAAATCCAAAGCAAAAACAAAATACACGTAACAATTTTAATAGTTACGTAACTATCTTTGTTGGTCAATTTTACCAAGCAAATTTTTTTGTGTGTATATATGCATGGTTTAACAATAGCATTTACCAAGTAAACAAACATTGGTCGCCAAAAGGAGAGCAACAAAATCTATACCCGAATTCTTAAACGTTAATCGGCTTTTAGATTGACATTCCCAGTCGGACCGTTACACAAGAAAAATGTACATTTTTCCTATAGAATTGGATGCAGCTTGTACATGAACTTTTCTGAAAATCCCCATTCGCTTTTATTAAGGGCTGGGTCGAGTTTTCAGTATATCGAAAAAGCCGGAAAAATTCAGCATATGCTAAAACTTTTGCGCTCTCCGGTGCTCGTATTGCTGGTTGCGCTGTTGTTGCTTGATGCAAAGTTGCCAAACTAAAATCGTTGTCTTTACTAGTAGGTCTAGCTACTACAAAATTTTTATTTTACCACTTTGTTAAGAATTGATGGAGCAATATGAGGATCATTTTTTTATTCGGAAACCGCGTGTATTCCGGCGGACAGAATTTAAATTTTAATTTAAAATTCCCTTAAAAAATACTTAATTTAAAAATTAAAAATTTTTAAAAATATTTTTCTGAAAGATATTAATAGTGTATTTAGACTACTAGAATCATTTTCGAATATTCAAAAATGTTGCAAGGCGTTTACATTTTAGATGCGGCCTTAAATCATACGAATTTGAAGAAAAACAAGAAAGGAAGCTAGCTTCGGCCAGCCGAAGCTTATATACCCTTGCAGATCATTCCTATTAATTAACAAATCGCAAAAATGTTCAATTTTCTAATATTTCTCATTAATTTTCCGATCGTTCCTATGGCAGCTATATGATATAGTCGTCCTATTTTGATCAAATTAAAATTGAAATTCGGAAATATTTAAAAAGAGTCATATCCTAGAGTAGAAGATAATACAATAAAAACCAAAGAAGCTAGAATTTATTTCCTATTACTCTTCCATTAATTTACCGATCGTTCCTATGGCAGCTATATGATATAGTAGTCCGATTTTTTAAATATTTAATTCGAAATTCAGAAATATTTAAAAAATAACATCCCCAAAAGTAGAAGGTAATATTTCAAAAAACACCGAAGCTAGAATTTTTTTAACGTTTTCTTTTCCGATCCTTCCTATGGGAGCTATAAGATATAGTTGTCCGATCCGACATATATACTACCTGCAATAGAAAGAAGACTTTTGGGAAAGTTTCATCCCGATAGCTCAAAAACTGAGAGACTAGTTTGCGTAGAAACAGACAGACGGACAGACGGACAGACGGACAGGGCTAGATCGACTCGTCTAGTGATGCTGATCAAGAATATATATACTTTATGGGGTCGGAAACGTCTCCTTCACTGCGTTGCAAACTTCTGACTGAAATCATAATACCCTCTGCAAGGGTATAATGACATAAAAGTCGGGCGTTACTTTTGTATTCCTTTACATTCAGGTGTAGGGGAGAGGTCTGTAGGTTGAGACACCTTTTGTTTTTAGTCTCCCATTTGGACATTCGCTTTTGAAACTTCACGTGTTAGGTACCGATCGAAAGCTTAGTCTTTTAGCTGTAAAATAAAGCAAAAAAAATTGTTTTTCCCTTGGGAAAATTAAAAAATAATTTTTTTTGAAAAGTGCCAAAAAATGACAATTTGAAAAAGAGGTCTGTAAGTTGAGACACTTTTTAAAGTCAATAATACTCACACAAAAAGTACTCCAAACTATAAGGAACTATTTATTTATGTTAATTTAATCAATTTTAGCTTGTCCTAAATCATTTCCCATCCATTTTTTAAGAACTTAGACCAAATAACAATCAAAATCAAAAGGCTCTTTGAACATTCACTTTTCCCCTAATATCAAAGAAATGTACTAGGCAGAAAGCGACCTCTGTTGGCCTCAGGCCTTTTTGTATGAAAAACGGGTGTCTCAACTTACACAAAATGGGATGTTTCGGGAAAAAATAAATAACTTTTGTTCTGACTGTCACATTAAGCTGATTCTTTTTTAATTAGTTAACAGTTTATATACTAATGTTTTAAATCTCTTACCAAGTTAATTTGAAGACGTTATTAATGACGAAGCGCACCAGGAGAGTGTGCGAAGGCGACTACTATATATACACGAAGAAATGAAAATCTACTGTGATGGTCCGATCATAATGAATAATACACCTATCGAAAGGTATTGCGAAAACTAACAGGATTGCATACCAAGACTTTAAGAAAATCAATTGGCTTGGGAGAGAGAGCGGTGAAAGTGAAAAAGTGAAAATTTCGAAATTTGGAGCTGTTGGGGCCGGTGGGGATAAATGCCCCCTCGCAATGTTTTAGTTGTATTCCTTTTGAAAATACCCGTCGAATGAGGGGTCATTTGTCAAAATCCGACTCTCCGTTCAAAAGTTATAGCCAAAATAAGATTTTCTTCTTCTTCCCAAAATGAAAATTTAATTCTGTTTGTCCACTTGTCCACTTGTCCACTTGTCCACTTGTCCAAAATATGTTTTTTAAGTTCTGAAAATTTGTTATGACGTTCATCACATCGATATAAAAAACTTTTGTTCTACCACTTTTGGAAAAACCCGCTAGTTTAGCGGGAAAACAGCTATAAGTAGCTAAAATTCGGAAAGCCGTAACTTCTATACTACTAAAGCTACAGGCTTGTGCTGCATCTCGTTTGAAAGGTATTTTTAAATGCTATAAACGCCTTCTATATGCAATTTGTGTAAATGTAATACTTAAAAAAATATGAACAAAAGACAATTTTTTAAAACTTTTTTTTTAGCTTTTTTTATTTTTCTCAAAAACGGCTCTAACGATTTTCTTTAAAACCTTAAACTGTATAGCCCTTGAGATTCCTTAAATTTTGGTATATAACACATTACTGTAAAAAGTCACGTTTAAAAGTTATTTTTATTCGAAAATAGCCACTTTTGCCAGCTCGAACAATTAACGCTCCCTGAGTATTGAATTTTGTGGGAGGGTATCCGAACTGTATTTTAGGGTCATGGAATCAGTAAATTTGCACTTAAGAGTTCCATATAGGAATCTTTTGTTCTACGACTTTTGGAAAAAGCCGCTACTTTAGCGGGAAAAAGCTAAAAATAGCTAAATTTCGTTAGTTTGTAAGTTCTACACTACTAAAGGTACAGACATGGGCTATACCTCGTTTAAAAGGTATTTTTAAATACTTCAATGCCTTTTTAACTTAATTTGTTAAAATACAATAGTTTAAAAATTATGATTGACCAATTTAAATTTAAATGTATATATTAGCTCCTATGAGAGCAAATGTATACAAACAAAAACTTCTGATATCAAATAAAAACACCTCTTAACGAGGTAAAAAACTAGTGACGACCGCACCTTCAACATACAAAAGTTCTGATATCAACATTTGTGACGAAAAATTATTACACTCGTCATTAAATAGACTTTCTAATCTTTTCTAATTCGTCACGCTGCAATAGAAAATGCCTGTAAAGGGAAAAAGGCTGGAATAGTTTGCTAGGGCGGGCCGAATGAGAAAAGATTAGAAAGTCTATTTAATGACGAGTGTAATAATTTTTCGTCACAAATGTTGATATCAGAACTTTTGTATGTTGAAGGTGCGGTCGTCACTAGTTTTTTACCTCGTTAAGAGGTGTTTTTATTTGATTAATTTTAAATGGAATTTTGAAAAAAGTAGACAAAAACTTTTTTGGTGCAAAATGGTACACGACTCTCACAGCTTAAATCTGGCTAGAGCCTGGCTTATAATGTTTTCCCCAAAAGTTTACAAAAAAAAAATAAAAAAAATTTTTTTAGTGGAAAAGTTTTGAGAAAATTGAGTGTCTCAACTTACAGACTGTCTCAACCTACAGACCTCTCCCCTATCCCTGAAAACTCTAGCAATCAAAAAACAACTCAAAAGCAATTGTTGGGTTCCTTCAAAAATTTTCCGACATTTCCATAGCTAGGCGTTTTGAAAAACGTTTCAGTAGGCTTTTTAAAATGTTTCCCTTTGCAGCCCATATTCAAAATCTTTTTGACATAAAAAACCCGACATTTGTATTGCTAAAAACAACCCCCTGAAATGTCGGTGTCCCCGAAAAAATAGAGGTTTATAGCCCAGTCCCACAGAGCACGTAACGGGGGAACGGTTGGAATTTTTGAAAGATGTGAAACACATGGTCCCATAGAACCCCTTTCATAATCTACCATCCCCCATCCAAATATAGTAGACGTTAGTAAAAAAATTACAAATATTCTATTGAATTTATTATAATTCCAAGGGGCAAGAATGGATAATTTGGCAATGATTATGACTGTGGTTCAAGAACAAAGCTTGATGTTGCAGCAGCTAATGGTGGCGGTTAAGTCCAAACAGCCAAACAATTCAATTGACGAAGAAGATGAATTGGAGATGGTCAGATGGTTTTCAGCTTTCAAGTCTAAAATGCCAAGAAGAGTGTGGATGAAGGTAAGAAATACCAATTAATAAGGCAGGTTTTATTTTAAGATTCATAGAAGCGGTATGGATCTTTTTGGGAAAAGGATGTTCCCGAAAACAGCGACTCATTTTTTAAGGAGAGCTTTCGGATGGAGAAGGCAACCTTTTTATTTTTGGTGGGTCGACTAGAAGTTTTGCGAAAGAGGAATACCAACTGGCGAGACGCGATTCCTCTTGAAAAGCGGATTGCTATTGCCTTGTATACTTTAGGTTCCTCTGCGGAGTATCGGGCTGTTGCAAGGCTTTTTGGAGTTGCACACAACACTGTCTGCAAAATACTCCATGAATTTTGTCGGGCAGTCATCGCGGAGTTTGCAAGCGAATTTATGACTCCCAATTACCTTACACCTGAAAAGGTGGAGGAGTGCGTTAAGGGTTTTGAAGAAATTGGGTTTCCTCAATGTATCGGTGCAATTGGTAAGAAATAAATTCTAACTTATCTACTTAATACAAAATATGTGTTAAAAAACGATATATTTTAAGATGGGTGCCACATCGAAATAAAACCGCCAGCAGCAGAAGCAGTCGACTATCACAACTACAAAGGCTGGTACTCAACGGTACTATTTGCTCTCGTAGACTACAGGCAAGTTACCTTCACTTAAGTATCTTATAAATATTTTAAATATTTTTAATTTATTACAGATATAGATTTAGCTATGTGAATATCGGCTCTGCAGGGCGATGCAACGATTCCACGATTTTTCAAAAGTCTAGCCTGGCAAGGAAAATTGCTACAACCCCGATCCTTCGAGAAAAATCTCGGAACATCTGTGGCGTACAAGTTCCCATTGTTCTTATTGGAGACTCGGCTTTTCGATTTTCCCAAACTCTGATGAAGCCATACCCATTTTCCACGACCGCGTCTGCAGAACAGCGATGTTTTAATTATAATTTGTCGAAGGCTAGACGAGTTGTAGAAAACGCATTTGGGCACCTGAAGGCGAGGTTTCGCTTCATAGGGAAAGGACTTGATAGCCAATACAAGAAGAACAATGCGGTTATTTTAGCTTGTTGCATATTGCACAACATTCTGAATGAGCACAACAGCGCTATAAATGAAAACTGGAATCTGACAAGCACCAACTTAAGAGAGCAGCCAAGTCAAATTAATATGTCCGCAGATTTCAACCATCCAGCTGAACAAATAAGATCAGCTATTGCAAATTACTGTTTAAACAGAAACCAATAAAATATTCAGACATAAATTTATGCTTCCATTTAATTAAAATAATTTATTTCATTACTTAAAAAATTTTTAAATACAATTTTATTTTGATTCTCTCAAGAACTTAAGTAGTTCGGATTGGAATTTTTCCTGGCTTTTTGCAACTCGTTCAAGGATTGCGGTTTGGTTTTTTTGATGCTCGTCGTAGGACTTCTGCTGCTCCCTTGTGAGCTCTAGTCTGTCCCGAGCGACCTCTACAAGCTCGGCAAGATGGTCTTGCTTTGCCCGCTTTGCAGAAGAGGCACCGCTGGCAGAGATTACAGATATTTCTGATGTGGTGGTAGAGATCCCACGAGCGCTACAGCTTGGCGATTCGGAATTCTCGGGGTTTAGTTCAATGGTCTCCTCTAAGTATTCCTCAACATCTGCAATGAACACAGTTTATTTAATTAATAAATAAAAAAGCAAATAAATATATTAATCTGCTAACATACTCTCGTTGTCCAAAGTATTCGCCTCCATGCTGTGTATGCGAAACGGGCCGAGAAATGAGTGCACCTTGTCGAAATGCTGCCAGGAAGAAGGAGTTCCGCCGCTTGGACCTATTTTATTTTTTTCTAATCTTCAAAGTGAAAAGGATATTATATTTCATTGTTGCCAATATTTGCAAAGTAATTTTACTTATTACCTGTACTTCTTGGTCATATTTTCAAGCTTGGTCCTGACATCTCGGAAAGAAATATTGAACCCAGCCTCTTTCATGGATTGGGCCATCTCCAAGTATATATGCGAGTTTTTTCTAGGACCGCGCAATTCAGCAATGCTGTCCTGCCACAAATCAACTAGGAGACATTCCATGTTTGTGGTCCACTTTAACCTTCCCGTGGTAGTTCTTTCTGTGTTGGCTACAAGTATTATTACACATAAATATTATCAAAATAATATTGACCTACCAGCTTCTGCTTCCATTTTCCTGATTTTTCGTCGTTATTTTTTTTTTTCACTGACAGTGTCAAAATTTGGAAAACTATCGGCTTAATATCGCCTAGGAACGGTTGGATTTGGAACGATAGTTGTGGATGGGGGAATAACTGGAATAATTTTTGAATAGAAAATTCCTTTGGAACATCCGTCAAAGAGATGGGGGAAGGTGGATGGTGCTCTGTGGGAATGGGGTATTAGGTTTGCTTTTTGACACGCACTTGTATGAAAAACAACATAAGGGCTACTCAGTTTCATCCGATACATTTGAATTTCTTTCGATCAGCATTTAAAATTAAGCCGCTGAACACATAATCCAATGCATTTTGTTAAATCTTCTTCAAATTAATTTGAAAAAAGGTTAACGAAGCCTTGGACATTTATGAAAATGATGCAGATTCAAACTCACAAACTGAACCAAATGTAGGACGAAAAAAATTGACATTTAAAAGCATCAAATTCAGGTTTGAGGGTACCCGACAATTGTTTTTGTGTTGCTTTTGATTGAGTAAACAAGGAAAACAAGGGAGTTTCTTAGTTGTTTGTTGTTTTTGAAAGCAACTCTCCGAAAAAACTCTAGTGTTTTCTGGGACACACCTGATTTTCTAGTACATTTTCGAACCGTCGTCAAACATTCGAGAAAATTTTCTCTTCTTCTATACACAGTTCATTTGTATGGGGCGAAAAAAGTGATGAATCGTATAGGGGGAACGTAATCTTTAAAGGATTCTAAGCCATATTGGCGAACATACTTATGGTCTAAAAAGTTCACCGACGCAAGGACAAGGACCTCAAAGTTCGAAAAATGCTGAAATTGGCCAACTTTCCGGAGGTCTCAGAGGCAAACGGATTCATGGTTTGTTTTGATGTTTAAAAACTTTAACTACTTTAGAAAACACAGAGCGGCAACACTACTACTACTTTGACCGCAACTGTATACTTTTATGTTTTTTGACTATGTTTTCTAGAATTTGTATCTCCCTTAAAAAAATATCAAAAATATTCTAAGTATGGGGTTTTTTTTTTTTTTTTTTTTTTATTTGATGGACGTTGATGCACTACGAGCAGTACAAACAAGTGGCCCAACGATACCAAGCAAGTGCTTGTTACGCGCGGGACCCTTTATCAATTAGGGCAAAAATGCGAGTTCGCGAGGAAAAGACATGAAACCAAATAATACAAATACTACAACTAAGATTGAAGCAAATGAGATAAAATTTTAGTTTTTAATACGGGGATAGATGTTGAAGTGCAAATTAAATGATAAAGATTGTTATAATTTTTACATAGAACACGAAAAGGCTCATGCAGAGTAAAATTTGATGTACATCGAGGCAAATTAAGAGGGTAATAGTTTCGTGTTAGTCTAACGGGAACATTAAAAGTTAAACGGTTTACCAGTTCTACGGAATCAATATCACCTCTTATAAGATTTTGCATAAAAATAGTACCAAGCATTATTCTACGGTTTTCAAGTGTAGGTAAATTAAGCAATAGTAATCTACTCTGGTAGGAAGGTAGCCTTACGTTTTGATCCCAGTTCAAACTACGAAGGGCAAAAAGAAGAAATTTTTTTTGCACCGACTCAATACGGTCGATGTGCACTTGATATTGTGGGCTCCAAACTGAAGAACAATATTCCAAAATAGGACGGACAAGGGAGGTAAATAATAATCTGGTTGGGTAATAGTCTAGAAGAGCGGCCTGAGCACCAAAAACCGCGAAAAAATTACCCTCGATGGACCGCGATTTCTTAGGAATTTACGTGCAGAAGATTATTTGCGGAAATGCATTGTTCTCTTGTAATTGCATTTCAAAGTTGCGTGTTTTGCTATAAAAACAAAGTAGGATTTTCTAGGATTTTGAGGTGTTTTGTGTCATTTTGCTATAAAAAACATATGGGCTTTCCGTTTGTTGTCAAAATAATAAGCGTTCGAAAAAATTCGACAAAAATGTGAAATTGTTTTTATAGCAGGCCAGACCCCACAACCGCGAATTAATATCCTCGATGGACCGTGATTCCTTAAGAGCTTGGGCGACCATGGATGACCAACATATACATTTTTAAGATGTGTCTTAAGAAATCGCAATCCGAGGAGGATCAACCTTAGTCTTTATCAGTACCTCCTTATACTTGTAACTTATTTGTAATAGTAAATAAAATGCTATATAAAACTATGGTTAATGATTGGACAGTAAATATTTATTTATAAAAAATGCTGGTTAGTGGTACAGATTAAGCCTATTCTTTTTCATTGTCCGTATCGGTGGATTCCTGAAATTTAAGATAGTTAATTGTTAGTATTTAAAAAGAGATGGGAAATGCTAAAAAAGCGCCGGAGGCAAAAAAATTAAAAAAAAAAATCGCGCGATTTTTTTTTATTTTTTTGCCTCCGGCGCTTTTTTAGCATTTCCCATCTCTTTTTAAATACTAACATCGCGTTCAGGATTAAACAATTCGCCCATTGCTGAGAAAATTGCATGGAATCTTGAGGTGTGGTTTGGGTGCCTTTTCAAAAAAGTGAATCGCGCTAGGTACCCTTGGGACAGTCCTTGCTCTTTAGAACAACTCCATGTCTCTGCAGAAATGCAAACACTTCTTCTTCGTCCATGGCAAGAAAGTCTTTATAAGAAATAGTGCACCCGTTGCAGGAATCCATAGTAAACAAAAGCCATTTCTGATTAAGCAACAAAAGCCTACTTGTTTTTTATAGCAAACCCATAAATTCCTAGAAAATGCTACATTGTTTTTATAGCAAAATGACACAAAACACCTCAAAATCCTACTTTGTTTTTATAGCAAAACACGCAACTTTGAAATGCAATTACAAGAGAACCATGCATTTCCGCAAATAATCTTCTGCACGTAAATTCCTAAGAAATCGCGGTCCATCGAGGGTAATTTTTTCGCGGTTTTTGGTGCTCAGGCCGCTCTTCTAGACTATTACCTCTGGTTGTATAAGGGTCATCAAATTCCTTTGACCAACGCTTTATAAACCCAAAAACACTCATAGCTTTATTGACAGTGGCCATTATGTGGCAATCAAATTTAAGTTTTGGGTCGAGAAGAACACCTAAATCGTTTATTGAATATATACGGTCGAGTGGTGTATTTTGAAGAGAATAACTAACAAACGTAGGAGTGCCCCTGTAAAAAGTCATAACGTTGCATTTAAGGCAGTTCAGATTTGAAAGATAAAGAGTTTATCTTTTAAAAAACTTTAACATCAAACCATGAATCCATTTGCCTCTGATACCCCCGGAAAAGTCCTTCCTTGCGTCAGGGAACTTTTTGGAAATTAAAATTTATTGACACAAAATGTTCTTAGCCCATTAAGACCCCTTATTTGGCTAACATAATGTGACGTCACGCGTCCCCATATGTTTGTATGTATGTTCTGCTGGCGCATGTATGTATGTGCATATGTATGTCCTGCTGTCGCAATTTAAGTGTGACCGCGCAAGGGGAAAATGAAAATACCACAGCCAAAAAAAATCGATTATATTGCAAATCTTAAATAATCGTTAAATTCTAATATTACAGAAATCCCATTAAGCTGAATTTTACGGTCGAAATTTTCCTTAAAATTGCTTTTGTTTTTTAAAATTCTCAGAAATTGCAAAAGAGTTTAATATTTTTAACATGTAAATTTAATCAAATTCGTATCCTATCTATTTTTTTCTTAAAGAAATTTTTTTTTCAAATAATGTTCCTAGGCTTTAATGGCAATGGATTGGGAATTTAATTACATGCTCAACGCAGTATGACATTCTATATTGAAATAATATGTTTTAGACAAAATATTAATGTTTTGAATGAAATTAGTGTAAGGATTTGTGTCGAAAAAGGAATCTGTTTGTTTCTGTTTTGTCCATCTGTTAACTTATGCAAACAATCCATAATAATTTTAAAAAGATTTAAAAAAGACACATGTTTTTTTAAGTAGTTTTCAAAGGACAAAATATTTTTGTTTTTACGGATATCAAGGGAAAAAGTTCTGATAAAATCTTTTCTCGGTTTATAGAATAAAAATTTTAAATTTAAAATAAGTACCAAAGATAAAGCAATGCTTAATATTCTATTTTAATTTCCGCAGGCGAAGCTGCGGGCTACAGACCCTGCTAGTATATAAATAAAATGTACGTGTTATATTTTTATTTTACTCATCATCTGTATTTAACTCGAAGTCCAAATTTTGTTCGAACTCGAAATGAAGCCATCTTTCTTTTCAAACGCGATCTCGCGTTCTCGTAATTTAAATGGGGCCGACCAGTCTTGTTTTTTTCAGAAAATTATATTTCTGATGCAAGCCAGCATGCATTTGAATTTTTGAAGCATTTAACATGCCTATTGTGTTTCTTTAGCAGCTTACTAACATGAGAAACAAAAGTTTTTAATGTCTTCTTGATGCCAATCAGCGTATTTTCAAACAGTCTGTTTTTATTTTTGAACCGTTCGCACATCCAGTGAACGGTATCGACAAAGCTGCGATACTTCCACACTTCCAGCAGTTCGCCCCTACTAATGTCGAGTTGTTTCGAATCTATTTAAATATTACGAAATGGCGCAAGTATGCGCAAAAGTTATACACGTATTACCACATTTTTACTTTTTGCAATCCTGCGTATCACACCCCTCAATAAGTTCCCGGCCTAACAAGGAAAAACACTTTTTTTTTTGAAAATTTTGTTTTATTCATCAATATAGTTTCTATCTACGGCTATACACTCAGTCCAGCGCTTCTCCAACCTTTCTATGCCATTTTTGTAGAAAGATGAACTTTTACCCTCAAAATAGGTCTCAGTATCGACAATCACCTCCTCATTTGATCGATATCTCTTGCCTTGGAGGTACTTTTTGAGATCTGAAAAAAGCCAGTAGTCACTGGGGGCCATATCTGGAGAATAAGGTGGGTGCGGCAGAAGTTCGAACCTCAATTCACTCAATTTCACCATTGTTGCCATAGACTTGTGGCATGGTGCATTATCCTGGTGAAACAGTGGTTTCTTCTTGGCCATATGTGGACGTTTTTCCTTGATAACGCGATCCAATCGATCCAGCAGTTTTATATAATATTCGCTGTTTATTGTTTTACCTTTTTCCAGGTAGTCTATAAATAAAATCCCATGTGCATCCCAAAATACAGAAGCCATAACCTTACCCGC